TTCATTGGACTCCCATGTATCACTGTTACATTTTGTTTACATTTGGAAATGCTTCTGCTAATACTTCTATCCCGCTGAGTGCTGTTAGAGGAGAAAAAACATTTTTCCTCAAACCTATCTGTCAAATTGATGTGAAGTGATTTGCAGAGAGAGAGAACAGAGCCTCCTGCTGGACCAGGAGTGGTAATAACCACTGGACAGAAAGGCTTTGACAGAAAGGATGGGAATGTGGCCTGTAATCAGCAGTGAGTGAGAAAGGAAAGAGCAGTTCAGGCCTTGCTGTGAAAAAGTTCTTTCTCCCTTCACTTAGTGAAGTAATAAACACATGGAGGCAGCCAGCAGTGCTAGGAATAGTTCATCTACCACTGACTTACAAAGGGCTATTCAAAAGTACTGTCAGCAGCCCCCAGTTGCAGTTTTCTGTCTATAAAATGAGGTGGTAGAAGCTTAAAGAATCTTCCAGTTATAAAGCTTTTATTCAAATGTATATGCACACAAAGTTTAAATATAGTTATTTTCATTTCATTATTAATTACAAATAGCCACCATTTATCAAATACTTTATATGTCCAGACACCGTGACACAGGGACTTGATTCATGCAATCCTCACTATAGCTAGTTTACAAACATGGGAACACTTGACACCAAATCACACAGGAAGTAGTGGGTTGAGAATCCAAACCCAGGCTAGTGTGACTTTAAACTCTGTTCACGGTGTTCTACTCTCTGTAAATACACGGGAGGCTGGAGGTGGACATACCAAGGAGGAGGAAAGAGTAAACTTTGGGAGAAGCAGCATTTCTCAGAGACTCATCGCTGTTGCCTCAAGACCAGGTTGTCCTTCTATTCAATTTTAAACTTTTCAAAGAGTATTTTGTAGCATGGGCTTTGAATTAAGGCAAATCTGAAAATAAATGTTGTCTTTCTAATTTTATAGACTTGGGGCATTCTTCAATTCTCAACCTCAGTATTCTGATTTGTGAAATAGCAAGACTAACTTATCTAATTAGTTAATAAGTTAATATTATACCTTGAGGAGAAACAATATAATATGATGACATAACTATTCCTGCATTCCTGGAATGTATACTAACATATTATTGTGTGTTCTTGTTTGGGCACTGAGTGATTTCAATTTGCTACTTTTCATTTAAAGTGCATTTTTCTGTAATCACAACAGAACAAGGATGTTTCAATATCAGAAACTTTCTCAACACATTAAAGCAGATAATTATGATTATATTAGTGGATACTGAAAAAGCATTTGATAAGATTTGTTAAGTTAGCTTATTAAGAAATAAAATTGGAATATAAATGAACTATTTAAATGTTATAATGTTTACCCAAAGATCTAGCAGCCAACCATAGGTGAGAACACTAATGCCATTTCTATTAAAATCAGAAACAAGATTTGAACGTTCACTTTCACTCAATATTTTGTAATGGGTTGGTGATTCTAGTGAATTAAATAAGAAAATGAGATAATTTGTATGAATATTGGGGAAAAGTTACCACCCATCTATTTTTACTTACATATATTATATACAAATAAAATAAAAATTAAAAACCTGCTCTAATGCATATGATAATTTGGTATAGTGTATATTAATGCAAAGGGAAAACTTTTTCTCTATATGTACGTGGAAATAGAAACGGGTAACTGTTTTAGTTATAATAGCAATAAAATCATACATTTAAGAACTATGTGAAAATTAATTTAATTATAGCTAATAACTTTATTGGAAAATATAAACACATTACTAAGTGAAACATTTTCTATATATTATTGGATGTGAAAAATTATTATTATAAATGTTGATTCTATTACATTTAATCTATAAAATCAATGTAATTCCTTTTAGAATTCTAAAGCTCTTACTTGTTTTGTGAGAGGGGGATCACTTTATACCACATATTAGCACACTCACATTGTGAGGCTGCTCTAATAGAGTGATATATGATTATATGTGACACATATAGATAAAAATTCCTAAAATATCTGTAAAGCAATGTACACCCACATATGTATACATGTACATTTAAAGACGACACACATACATAGTGTTTTATTTCAGTAAGAAAAGGAGAATATATTTAATCGATTTTGCCACCAGTTCATATTCACCTTGATTAATATAAGTTTGGACTATGACACAGAAACATTTATAATTAACACTATTACAATTTTAGTAGAAAAGCATGAGACTATATGTAGAACATAGATAGGAGTCAAAGATAGTTTTTTAAAAGCAAGATATGAAACACCAAAGTTATAAAGAAATATAAAAGTAGATATTATTATATAAAAGTATATTTGCTTGAGATTTGGTTGCTTGAATAAGGCCAAATACAAATACTGTATAGATAAAGGCATAAAACTAGGATCCCTTGCAAATTTATATTTAAAACATAAACAATACAATAAAAATGGATGAAGTTTATTTGAAGAGGCTATTCATAGAAGAGGTAACAAAATAATCAATAGACATGTAAAGCACACTCATTCTTACTATTAGGGAAATTCAACATATAATTAAATATGGTAATTCTCACTAACAAAATTGATGAAATTTTAAGAATTGTAGTAACAATGAATTTTAGTGAATATGCAAGAAAAAGGCACACTCCCGCATAGGATAGAAATATGAACTGATATGGCCTTTGGGGAAAGACATCGACCAGTACATGTTGAAATTAAAAATGTAGAACCCTTTGCAATCAGCAGTTGATGATCTTGAGATCAGTCTTCTAGAAATAAAAGCATAAGTGCACATGAAGAACTGCATAAGAATGTTTATTACAGAATTAT